AAGTCCTAAACATACATTCAAAAGAAAACGACGGCATACATTAGAGAAGAAATAAATTAAAGAGGACAAGTAATATACCAAAAGCCCGAAGGCATATGTATTACCAAAAGCCTGATGAAAGGAAATTCAAAATATACATTACATAGTGGCCGAAGCCGAGAGCATACAAGTGATAGCTAGACAAGATTGTTCAAAAAAAATTCTAAGTATTGCACGATAACTACATCGTCAGCAGCAGCAGCATCACCCCCGTCGGACGGCTTCGACGTAGCGTCCCCCTCGGCATCTTCTTCTTCATCGCTGCATTCATCCATCAGGACAGTGTCCTCATGATCTGGCCTGCTGGTGCCCTCGGGAAGGGGAACCCTGGTGTCCGGTTGAAGAGGGGGGAGCCCATAAGTCGCAGGGTCAAACACCGACGGATCTGCCCCCAGGTGCCTGGCCAGCCTTCGGTAGATGAGGGCTTGAGTGAAGTACTCGCCCCCGTCATAGTATTCCTTCCCCTTCTGGGTCAGCCACATTGCCCCGGGGCCTTTCACCCAGTCCTCCACGGAGGACTCAACAACCGTGGCCACCCACGCTCTCTGGGCCTCGGCCTTCCACCCCTCGGCGATGAAGGCTGCCACCGCTTCCCCCGCTGCCTCCTTCTTGGCAGTCTCAGCATCTTCGGCAGCCTTCTTGGCGGCCACAACAGCTGCCTTCTCCGCTTCGGCCCTCCCCTCGGCTTTCGCCAGCGCCTTGGCGTTCTCGAGGAGTTTCTCGAAAGCCGCCCTCTCCACCCTGGAAGCCTCCTCTGCCTCCCGGAGCCGCCTTTGGGCTGCAGCCAAGGAATCGTCATCCTTCTGCTTTTGAAGGGCATAGCGCTCCATCCGCTGGATGAGTTCACCAAGGCCGAGGCTTGCCTACAAAAGAGATCACGAATCACCAAGGTTTAGAACCACAGTGCAAAAAGGGGAGGAAGGGAACATGAGGAAAAAGAAGAAGGAAAGGGGAACTTACAGTAACCGAGGCCTGAAGGACCTTGGAGCAGAGGGCGTCGTCAGTTTGCCGGGAGAGCACGTATTTATCCGTCGGGGGGTGGCCCCCCTCAGGAACTCCCTCGGGTTCAGCGTGGCGTGCATAATGGCAGTCCCCTTGGTGATGGAGAACTGCACATTGTCTTGAGGCCATACCAGGCCAGGGGCCTGGGCCGGGAGCTCGGGGGAGGAATGTTCCTCCACGATGACAACCGGGGCCCCTTTCGGGTCGGCCCCCCTTCTTCTGCTTTTTTCCCTCCAGGGGCGCCACGGCCTTCCCGGCTCTTTTCCTCTTCAGGGCCTCAACTGGGGAGCCCTCGGCGTTGGAACCAGCATCATCGCCGGCAGCAATTTTTTCCTTGGGCACGTTTTCCTGGGCCCCTTCGTTTGCACCCGCCCTCGGGTAGATCTCGTCCAACCCCCTCTGTTGCAGCGAGGGGTCTTTCTTCTTGGTCTCCTTCGCCAGCTATTTCTTCAGCTTAGAAAGGTTCCGGGCGTCCATGTCTGGTCCTGAAAAATAAAGAAAATGCAGGGGAGTTAGGAACATAATATCAAAAGGGAAAACAAAAATGAAGAAGGAAAAGTATATTCTAAGTATAGAACGGGAGCCCTCGCCAAAATCAACTATCTCCGACGCTTTGATAAACCCTATCGACATGGGGATATCTCTCATCGCTTTCCCCCATCAGTCGGTAACGCCGAAAGCCCAAATCATAAAGATCGTCTGGGAGAGTAGCATCCCTGATCTTGGTATGCTTGTCGGACCCCTCGGGCTTTTTGGAGAGCTTCTTTCCTTTCTTCTCCAAGGCAGCGCTTCCTACCTTGACGTGCCTGCGGAAGCTGTCGCGAAGGGGGGCCGGGAAGGGATTCTCGGCCATCCGGATGTAGCAAAACTTATCTTTCCATCCCTTGTGGGACGAAGGGACATCATCAAAGAGTCTGAACTCTGGGAGCTGCTGTAGATTGGCAAAGCCACCGGCGTTCGAGTGCCCCCCCCCTCCCCCGGCACAGGTTGAAGGAGAGGAAAAATTGGTCCAGCGAAGGCTCCACATCCCGGCTCCGGCAGAGGGAGAGGAAGCCAACCAAGTAGGAGTGGCTGTTCGGGGTTAGTTGGCAGGGGGCTAGCTTTACGTACCGGAGGCACTCCATCACGAAGGGATGGAGGGGGAACCGAAGGCCCAACTCCACAGAGAGCAGATGCACGGCAAAACAACCGGCGGGTGCGTATAGCAAAACGTCATCTGGCCCCGGCTCCACTACCAATGCCGACGGCCCTACCAGGAGTTGCGTCACCATGTATTCCCCTGTGTGGCTCGGGTCTTCACATCCAAAGCGGCAATGTTCAGGTAAGAGTAGCCTTCGGGTATTCCTACTGGTTGCCTGGCGTCAACGGCAGCCTGTTTCTTCTTCCGGGCAGCCTTCACCTTTCTCTTCTTCCCGGGGGCAACACTGATAGGCGTCGGGTTCAGAGGCTGAGAGCTTCCGGCCTCTGCATTCCGAGGGGGAGGAACGGCGACGGTAACCACCATGCTTTCTTTTTGTGCCTCATCCTCGGCCACTTAAAAGGCAAGCGCCAGCTCCTCGTCCTCGCACACTTGCTCGAATTCCTCCGCTTCCAGTTCTAGCCGAAGGCTGGCTTGCACCTCTTCAGCTACCACAGAGTCTTGGTTGACCGAAGTGCGTGCGCTCGAGGACTCCACGTCCGAGATGATCTCCTCCTCCATCGAGGGCGGCCTCGAGATATCCTGAGAGTCGCTTTGTGAAGACATCCTCAATAGCTGAAGGGATGAGGGGTTTCTAGGACATGAGTTTTCCTAAGGCTGTTAAGCACTTAACCTAAGGCCACACGACTACGAGCTACTAATGCTACAGCAGAGGGGCAGAGAACTGACCTCGGAAGAGCGATTGATCGAAGGCAGCTGTTTCTCTCTCTAGGAATTTTGGCAGAGCTTCGCTAACGGATAAAACGCACAAGGGAAGTGAGGCCGGCCAAGGGGTATTTATAGGCGCTGGGATCCGGGCTTGGGCCTAGAAACCGGGCCTCCGGTTGGACTGCCATCATTACAGACCGCGGTTTCGCCCAATCGGTGACGCCCGCCCACGGGCAGCCAACGAGCACGCACCACGTGGCAATCCCCCCCCCCCCCCCCAACGGCTATATCCTGACGTTACATATTCCAACGGCTATATTTCCAACGACTATATTCTGGGAGCCCCCGGGCTTTTTACTTCACTCCACTTCATCAAGGAAAGCCTCCGGGTACACTTACCCAGAGACGCTCCCGGGTTGTGCCCCACACAGTACATAACGAATTCCTTCGGGATCACTCCTTCAGAAGCCCAAGGCTTCATATCAGGCCACCCCTCGGGGATCCCCCTCAGCACTTTGAGGGCCGGGTAGCCCCCAGGGAGTATGTCTCATTGACGGATAGCCTACGGCACACAGGTAGCGGGACCCCTCGGATATCCTCATCACCAACTAATCAACAAACAGGGGACCCCCCGATAACAATTCAACTACTACCCGCATTCATTACGCCCTCGATCCCCAGATTGGGGGACTCCCCTTCGGCGCCTCCCAGGGTATCAAAAGCAAGCCTCCGGCTAATCAACAAATGAGCCCCCAGAACGGGGAAAGCCTTCGGCATCATCATTATTCTCCATTTCGAACCAAGGTTTCACATTTTAGATTCATCGTTGGGGAAATTCGATCCACTCTTTTTCCCTCATTAGGATTTTTTCCCACAGGGTTTTTCCTAATGAGGTTTTTAACGAGGCATCCCCCCAAAATGAAACGAAAAGCGTCAGCCTTCGGCCCACAACAGCAACGCAACTACTTTACTCCTTTTCACCACTTTGCAAGTGCCTCAAGGAGTGGGGGACTGGAGGACCCCCTCGACGGATAATTCACAAAAATCACAAACATGACCCCTCAAGTCCCGACATGTGGGTAACTGAAGGACTGCCCTCGGCAGAATGAACAAACAGCAAACTACCCACACCTCTACAAACTACGACGGAACAAAGGCAGAAGACAATTACTCCTTTTCCCTCAAGTACCTTTCGGCAATAGGAGTGAGGGACTCCTGATGGAGTATATGGCCCGGGAACCCCCGGCCCACAGACTCCTACTACTCCAATAAAGGCCCAATAGGCCCAGGAAACACAACAGGCCCAAATCAGGACCAGTTGAGGTGACCTCTCGACCAATGAACGCTTGACACGTGTCCCTGTCCGGCATTTATTGCTACTATAAATAGCATCCCATTTCTCCATTTGTAACCACGCTGAAGACGCTGAACACTTTACAATATACTTTCTCTCTCTATATTTACTTGCTCTGACTTCTCTCTTATTATTCTCCGTAATAACCCCTCGGATAAGCTACCCCGGGTACACTATCCATCAGTGATACTTTTACTTATTTCAAGCAGATCACAATGGAATTATTCATGTCCCTGTTTCCTTTGTTTTAAGGAATAACCTGCATTAAACCATTAGTGACACTTTGGTGGTTTGGTGTATCCATTATACGTAGAAGAGAAATAAGAGTAAATATATACGTATTATTCTCTAAATATGATATTGTTCCAAAATTAGCCTCTTAATTTTTTCAATTGTGTTTAACAGCTGCAAACATCGGTCATCGTCTTCTCCCATCTGCTCATCATCTCACTTTGCAATATGACGAGCTAGCCTGCAAGACGCGATTCTAGGTGCAGCGAACAATTGGGAGCAGCGAGAGAGTGTCTTCGAGTAGCGAATCCAAACATGATGTCCAGAGTTAAGTATCTACTTTTTGAGTGACTTTGTCATTAAATAGGAAAATGTGACAATTTAATTGATACGTAGAGATTTTATATGGTAGTGTGAGATATCGTAGTGATCTTCCCTTTAAATTTAAAGTGATTTTATAATTCCTGAAATATCCTTCAACATTCATACAGATATGTAAAGTTTTAAAATGCTTGATGGAGATTGCTTGGAAAGTTCAGAGTTATTGCACAGCATAACACGTGGTATCTTGTGACACTGTTATAAAATGGCTCTCTAGTCAATACCAAACACAATCCTCATTGACCTAACGCACGGGCGCACATCTCTTCCTCTCCCAAAAGCTGTTCACGTTTTAACCGCTTCTGTAAGCAAATAACTGAAGCATGAAGAACTTATCATCTAATCCGTCGTCTCCTTTTCGCTGCCCTCTCAAGTCACCCTCTCCTTGTTCCCAATCTCCTTCAATCTGTAAACTCTCCGAAACACTTATGGTAGAATCAATGGAGATAATCTCCGACGCCTTGCGTGAGCAGAGTAGAGGATCACAGCAGGCTATGGACCTTCTGTATTCTGTAAATGACCTGCATCGCGCTATGCAACTGCTCGTTATAGAGAATTCGGGTTCTGAGTTGCTTGTTAGATCTCACAGCTTGATGCAGATCGCTATGAAGAGGCTGCAGAATGAGATCTTCAGTATTGTTACACGAAACCGGATTTCTGTTCCAGACTCTGCCGTTGCGGATTTGAAAGCTATTGCGAATTGCATGGTCGCGTCCGGATATGGAAAGGAGTGTGCTGAGGTTTACACCTTGATTCGGAAATCTATCGTCGATGAGGCTCTGTATGATTTGGGAGTTAACAACTTGAGCACCTCTCAGATTCAGAAAATGGACTGGAAAGTGCTGGAGAAGAGAGTTAAGAACTGGATTTCTGGTTCTGAAGTTGCGGTGAAAACTCTCTTCTCCCGGGAGAAGATTCTCTGCAACGAGGTATTCTCGGCTTCCGAAGACATCAGCAAGTCGTGTTTCGCTGAAATCACGAACGACGGTGCGGTGTCCATGCTCCGATTTGCCGGAACTGTTGCCAAGTGTAACAAACTTTCCGTCGAGAAAATTTTCCGTTTTCTGGATCTCTATCATGCGATCTCGGAGCTGCTGCCGGAAATCGACTCTATTTTCGACTTCAGTTCTGTTTCTGCTGTCAGATCCCAGGCCGTGAGGTCACGTTTAAAGCTTGGCGCCGCCATCAGAGAGATGCTGGCGAGGTTTGAAGCGGCTGTTCAGAAGGACTCGTCTACAACGCCGCCCGGCGGTGCTGTCCATCCGCTGACTCGTTACGTGATGAACTACCTCGTCTTTCTCTCCGATTACAGCGGCGATGTTTTTGAAGTCATAGCGGATTGGCCGTCTTCGATGCAATCGCCTTTGCCGGAGGCTTACTTCTCAATTCAGCGTCCCGGTGAAGACGATGCCGGCGCCACGGCGGGTTCCGAGCGTTTTGCATGGCTCATCCTCCTCCTCCTTTGCAAACTCGACGGGAAGGCGAAAACGTACGCAGACGTGCCGTTGTCATATCTGTTCCTGGCCAACAACCTAAACTACGTCGTTTCAAAGGTCCGGCAGTCGAATCTGGATACCATCCTCGGGTCGGGTTGGGTATCCATGCACGAAGAGAAGGTTAAACAATACGTGGCGAATTACGAGAGGATGGGGTGGGAGAAGGTTCTCTCGCTGCTCCCCGACGATCCAATTTCTGACATTTCTGGAGCGGACCTTAAGAACCGGTTTGTCAAATTCAATTCCGGGTTGGAGGAGGTGCTCCAGAAGCAGGTTTTGTGGGTTATACCCGACCCGGAATTACGTGACCGTGTAAAGGTTTCGCTCGCGAATAGAATCGTTCCGGGTTACCGGGTTCTGTTCGACGGGTATCGGAACAAACTCCAAGACGCGGAAGCAGTGGTTAAATTTAACCCTGACAGTTTGCAAGATTGCCTTTCGGATATGTTTGACGTGAATATGGGTAACGTCTTGCATAGAACAAAGCCTCACACGTCTATTATTCACGGTCACCGTCAACATCACCGTGTCCTTACCGGCCATTAGTCTATTTGTTGCTTTAGGCAAACACTATAAGCAATAGTGACATAGAGAAGATATTTTAAAAATCTCATGTCATATGTAAAATATTGTTTTTTATTTTTTATATTCTTGAATCTTTATGTAATATGTAGTAATAAATTTGATTAATATGTCAAATATTTATTGGACGTTGGGACTTGAGACAGTATCTAGTTTTTCATGATCCCATAAATGTTTGACGCATATGATTTTAGTGCCAAATTGTATCAAATAAAAACTCCATATTTGTGTATCCTTATTCTAATCTTGAAAGCGTCTTTAAACCTACAAAATATATATTGATCCTGCTATGCTCACAGCATCCGCAATGGATGAATGTCTATCCTATGCAAAAGGGGGAAAATTATGAATGTCTATCCTATGCAAAAGGGGGAAAATTATATGTACACATAAGTTCACATTTCATGTACACACATTGTAGTTGTCTGTGTATACAAGCAGCACGTTCAGAAGCTGTATGTGTACACAGACAACTAGAAATGTGTACAAGAAATATTTATGGTTTACGTGTACAAGTAACACCACCCATGCAAAAGGTGGCACAAATCCGTGACTATTTTTTTTATAAAACAATCCGTGACTAAACCGTGACTAGAACCGTGACTAACTAGTCACGGACCAAATCCGTGACTACGGTCCGTGACTACAAGCGATTTTTTTAGTAGTGATATAAACATATTAGAAAAAATATTTATACAAAAATGGATGAAAATAAATGTGTTTTACACTATAAAACAAAATGAATGAAATAATTGATCATATATAAAATGTTTTTTCTCCATTCATGAAATAAATAAAAAGAAATGAAATAAATTATCTCATAATAAAATTAGTTATTTTTTGCTACTGGTAGTTTCTCTTGTGTATGAGTGTCATTTTATCTCTTTTGGATCAACCACTAAATACTAAATAAATGAGATTTATTAAAATATGAGGGCTTTCCTTGAATATTACTGCATACTAAAATAAAATATGACTAAAGATAAAATGAGTATACCATTCATGATTACTATAATATAAAATTGATCACAATCATGCACATTAAAATTACAATTATAGTCATATATTAAAGTATGAAAATACATATTCGTATCCATAATATTCATTTTGATCATATATTTGACATTATTTCTTAGAGTAATTATGATATGGTATTAAGTGAAACATCATAGCATACATGAAGTACATACAAACGTTTATACGGAGTAGACTATACTTCAGTTTTCAGTTATATTAAATCCTATGTTGGCCAATTATAATTGTATTATATTTATTGTGTACTTAGTTATTGTACATATGGGCCAATGGCTCAATTAGCTAGTCAATACTCCTTGTACATGTATTTATACATACGTTCGGTGGAATAGAAGGCATGAGAAAGATTTCCATGAAACTTCATATTCCTTTCCTGTTTAAGATGGTATCAAAGCCTTGAGGGGATTCGGCGCTGCACTTGTTTGTTGACGATTCTCGCTAAACAGCACCAGCGTTCTCGGAACATCGCCAGAATATGAGCGGCGACCCAACTTCCCCGTTCTATTTGGGAGCCGATGATCAACCTGGAAACCAAATTACTCATGTTGTGTTCAAAGGGAATAATTACGTGGCTTGGTCACGAGCTATTGCCTTGGCATTGGAAGCTCGCCGGAAACACAGATTTATCGATGGAACCATAAAGAAACCGACCGTACGTACAGTGAGATTGGGCGACAGGGAGACAGTCAACTCCATGGTTGTTTCATGTTTGCTGCGATGCATGGACCAGGCGGTGATGGATTCAATTCCTTTTCATGACGAAGCCCGTGCGTTGTGGGTGTATTTGGAAAACCGATTTAGCATGGCCAACGAACCTCGACTGCAGCAGCTTCATGCCTCCATCACGGACTGCCAGCAGTCAAAGACAATGACCGTGGACGCCTACTACACGATCCTTATGGGTTATTACGACGAGTTGAATCATTTAAGCCACTGCACGCGTGTACGTGCGGACTTGCTGCCAAGTTTGCCGCCGATAGAGAAGAAGAACAATTACATCAATTCCTCATTGGAATTGACGACGAGGTGTACGAGACAGTGCGGTCTAATCTTTTGTCACACACCCTGTTGCCGGATTTGAATAGAGCTTATCAAGCATTTCTTCAGGAAGAAAATTCAAGGGCTGCAACACGTGGGAAATCTGTAGCAGTTGACACCCATGCTTTTGCTTTACAGGCGGATCGGCAGACTAAGGGCCGACAAAATAAAACTGATCGCACCAGGCTTGTTGTACGCATTGCAAGAACAAAGGACATGATATTAGTTCGTGCTTCAAACTGTTGGGCTACCCGGAATGGTGGGAAGATCGGAACAGGCCCAACAATGGGACGGCTGGACGTGGAGGGGGGGGGGGGTTGAAAACCCATGATGTGACTACTTCTGGTGTAGGGACACCATCTTCGGTCGAGGCCAAGGTACTGCCCGAATTTAGCCAGGAACAGGTTCAGGCTTTGCTAAATTTAATTGATACTGAAACCCGCGCATGTGACCGTATGTCAGGTAAGGGTATTTCTTTTGATTGGATTATTGACACAGGAGCGTCTCACCACGTCACGAGTGATATTTCTTGCTTAACAGATAGGACTCGTATTTGTGCGTGTCCGGTAGGGATGCCAGATGGGCGGACCGTGGCAGCTGTGTTAGAGGGCTGTGTCCACCTCTCTAAAAATCTTATATCGGATCATGTTCTTTATATTGTGTGCCTGGATTGAAATGTCATCTCATATTAGTATCTCAGTTAATTGATTAATCTGCATGTTCAATTACATTCACTGACTCATTTTGTGCTATATAGGACCGTCTGTAACACCCTGATTTTTATGAGCTAGTTATATTAATCATTATTATTTATTTTAGTCAGTTGAATAAGGTTCTACTATGAATAATGTGAGATATTATTTTACCATGTTTTGTTTGTGGCAGGTAACGTTGACCGGTAAGCTCCAATAATTTTAAGTGAAGAAATAATTAATAGTATATATTTTATTAATACGTGGAGTTTTATTTTGTGTAGAAGTCTTCTTTCATACTCCGTATTATTCGAATAGGAGTGTTCTATCTCCTATTTTTACGTAACTGTACAGCTGTAGGTTTCATCCATTAGTTCCGTAGCATAACATTATCTCTTGTATAAATGTAATTGATGTACATCACAAAATCATGGAATAAACATTCTCGTTTATCGACCTACGTTTTTCTACATGGTATGTTGGCTCTTGAATCGTTTGAACGACGAAACTAAACCTGAGTATTCCTAAGAGAATACATCTGATCCATCATCTCCTTACTATTTGTCAAACTCGGATCGGCGGATTCCGGGGCTCTCGGATGAACAGTGGCAGGGTCTCATGAAGTTGCTGGAGAAGAGTAAGATGCTTGCTCCGTCTGAAAAATTGACCGGTAAGAATTCTAATTTTAGATGGTTGCTGGACGCGGGTGCTTCGTACCATATGACAGGTAGTGCTCATTTATTGGTGGAGGACAAGGAAGCATTGCCACCCGTGGCAGTGATACTGCCTAACGGAGAAGTAAAGTATGCAACTAGCGTGGGAAGTGTAAAATTGAGCTCGTATATTACACTTAGGAAGGTCCTATTCGTACCTGGCTTGAAGTGTAACCTTATATCTGTAGCACACTTGATTGATGACCAGAAATGTGATGTATATTTTACTAATCAGTTATGTGTGATACATGACTACCTGCCTACGAGGATGCTGATTGGAGCAGGTAGACGACAAGATGGAGTATACTATTTTCACGGTTTTGACACAACAACTGCTAGTCAAATAAGGAAGCAAGAGTCAAGCAACTTATGGCATTCCCGGTTAGGACACCCGTCCTCAAAAGTGATGAGTTGTGTTTTTAGTTTAAATAATTTTGGGTCTGTAAGTGATTTGAATAAAGTGTGTGATGCATGTTTGAGAGGGAAACAGACTCGTGAAGTTTTTCAAACTAATAATACTAGAGCTGTGGAACCGTTTGAATTAGTGCATTGTGATGTATGGGGTCCTTATCGAATACCTTCTTCGAGTGGTGCTCATTATTTTTTGACTGTTGTTGATGATTTTTCACGGGCTGTTTGGGTACACTTGATGACATCTAAAGATGAAGTAACAAATATTTTTAAACAGTTCTGTGCCATGACCAAACGGCAATTTGATAAAAATGTGAAAGTGGTGCGGAGTGATAACGGAACGGAATTTTTGAAGTTGAAAAATTACTTTCTTGAAAATGGCATTATACACCAAACCTCATGTGTGTATACTCCACAGCAAAATGAAAGGGTGGAACGAAAGCACAGACATATATTGGAGATGGCACATGTACACCCTACGGTTTCATGCAAACCTACCTCTTGATTTTTGGGGTGAGTGTGTTTTGGCGGCCGGTTATTTAATTAATCGGTTGCCTACTCCGTTACTAGCACACAAAAGTCCTTTCGAGATGGTGTATAACAAGGCACCCGATTATGGTCACTTGAAATTGTTTGGATGTTTGACTTATGCACATGCTCCTAATGTGCACGATAAATTTGAGACGAGGAGTGTGCGGTGTATATTTCTTGGATATGCATACTCTCAAAAGGGTTGGAAAATGTTTGATTTGGATAACAAACGACATTTTGTTTCTCGGGACGTGCATTTTATTGAGACTAAATTTCCTTATAAAGAAACAGTACGTACATGCGAAATTGATACGGGCGAAATTCCCATTAACATGGGCGGTCAACTTACGGATGACAAGGAGGATGATGCCAGGCAGTATCCTGATGGAGATGAAGTGTCATGTGTCGAGCATGGAGATGAGCTGAATGTGGGAGAGCAACATGGTGATGAGTCACGTAATGAAGAATCCCATGACATGGGAATGAATGAGGTTGATGTCATTTCGCATGCAGGGCGACGGGGTGTATGCGTGCCAGGAAGAAACCAGCGTGGCATTCAGATTATGAAGTTCAGTTGAACACCGTGAAAATTGATACTCCTTCTGTTGTTCTGCCTTCTTTGTCGGTATTCTCTTGTAAGCCTTATCCTTGATCTGATTATGTAACGTATAAACGTTTTTCGCTTTCGCATCGTGCTTTTCTTGCAGCTATTTCTGCCAATAAAGAACCGGCAAATTATAATGAAGCAGTCCGTGATCCTAACTGGCGTGAGGCGATGAAACGGGAGGTTGATGCGCTAGTGAAATGGAACTTGGACAATTCAGAAGTTGCCGCCAGGAAAGAAGCCTATATTTTGTAAAGGGTATTTAAAATTAAATACAAAAGTGATGGAAGTATCGATAGGTATAAGGCTCGTCCGGTGGTTTGCGGAAATAGACAAGTACAAGTCATTGATTATCATGAAACCTTTGCTCCTGTAGGAAAGATGGTCACGGTACGCACTATTCTGGCAGTTGCGGCATGCAAACGATGGGAGTTGCACCAGATGGATGTGGACAACGCTTTTTTACATAGGAATTTGGATGAAGAGGTTTACATGTATCTGCCACCTGGTTATTCTGCTTCTTCGAGTCATGTGTGTAAACTCCTTCGATCTGTGTACGGATTAAGACAATCCCCTCGTTGTTGGTCTTCCAAACTAACAGCTGCTTTACGTACTTATGGTTTCTGTCAATCTCATGCTGATTACTCTCTTTTTGCTCTACGCCGGTCAAACAAAATTCTTTGCGTTTTGATTTATGTGGATGACCTTCTTATCACAGGAAATTGTCAAGAAATGATTGTTCATTTCAAAAGATTTATCGCTACATTTTTTCCTGTTAAGGATTTGGGCGGTATGAAATATTTTCTAGGGCTGGAGGTGGCAAGGAATTCCTCTGGTATTTTCTTAAGTCAACGTAAATATGTGTTAGATATCTTGGCTGAAACAGGATTGACCGCCGCAAAACTGGTACCATTTCCAATGGTACAGAATCATTGCTTACAACGTGACCAGGGGCCGTTTTTTCCCTGATCGTGAACGCTATCGACGGCTTGTTGGGAAATTAATCTATTTGACTCTTACATGACCAGATATCTGCTATTCGGTTCATATCTTGTCACAATTTATGCAAACGCCGCGGGTGACTCACTGGGAGGCAGTGTTGCGTGTCTTGAGATATCTCAAGGGACACCCGGAGCAAGGTATTCTACTTCGGAGCGACTCCTCATTGAATTTAATGGGATATTGTGATTCTGACTGGGCAAGTTGTCCTCTCACACGTCGATCTACTTCTGGTTATTTCGTGATGCTAGGAGCGTCTCCCATTTCATGGCGTACCAAGAAACAGCTTACTGTTTCACGTTCTTCGGCAGAAGCGGAGTATCGTTCTATGGCATCTTTGACGTGTGAGTTGATTTGGCTCACGAGTTTACTTTCTTCTTTGGGTGTCACGCATGCCCATTCTATACCTCTCTTTTGTGACAATCAGGCTGCTTTACCTATTGCTTCCAATCCAGTTTTTCACGATGAAAGGACCAAGCACATTGAGATTGATTGTCATTTCTTGCGTGATAATGTTCAGGCTGGTGCCATCACTCTAGTTCACCGATCTACTACTGAGCAATTAGCTGATATTTTTACAAAGGCTCTCGGAGCGCATCAATTTGGCTACTTATTGTTCAAGATGGACATTCGAGACCTCCATGCTCCATCTTGAGGGGGTGTTGGTGCATACGTGGAGTTTTATTTTGTGTAGAAGTCTTCTTTCATACTCCGTATTATTCGAATAGGAGTATTCTATCTCCTATTTTTACGTAACTATACAGCTGTAGGTTTCATTCATTAGTTCCGTAACATAGCATGTATCTCTTGTATAAATGTAATTGATGTACATCACCAAATCATGGAATAAACATTCTCGTTTATCGACCTACATTTTTCTACAGAAGAATATAATGATTTTGTTGGGTCAGTTATCTTTGCCCAAATCAGTTATCTTAGCCCAAATCAGTATCTTGATTGAAGCCCTAAAAAAAGGTATTACATATACACGCCGTTCTTCTTCTTCCACCATTAGTAGCCGCATCTTCCCTTTACTTCGCCAAACAGAGCCGCTATCGCTAAATTAAGTCTTGGATTACATCTCATACCTGGTAAATTGAATACTCTCTATACTTCCTAGAATATTTTCCCAAATTCCCAGTTTCAGTTTGTTTTCTCTGTAACACTCGGCAAGTCAATTTCTCTAATGATAGTGGATAAATTCAACAGGAGAAATTTTGAGTTTCTAGTGTAGGGTCATTAATCCGTATCTTTAATTTCTCCAAATTCCAATTTCATCTAGTTTTGAAAAGTAGTAATGGGATTTATTGATCAATTCAGAACTTTCGCTGGTAGGGTGCAAGTTTACAGACTTAAATTGGGATTTGAGTGTTTGAGAAATTTAAATTTTCAGTTCAAATCCTCTCTCCCTAAACTTCTAGCCTACAGTTCTATTATAAAGTTTTTTTATACAATATTGTCTAATTAAGATCTCATGCTTTTCAAATCATTCAACTCTTTGACTGTAGAGAAAATTTTGTTTTTCAGTATCATCCGTAGCCACTCTCTCTAGCTAGTTCTGTCAAGTAATAGCTTCCTTCATTATGTATTGAGTAAAAATTTATTACGAAGAGTCTACTAGTCATAATAATCAGCTAAATTCATTTTTAAAGTTTTACTCAACTTTTGGTTATTGAATTTATTTTTAGTTGGCCGGTGGCAGTAGCATAAGGCTATCTTAGTTCATAAAGCATAAGATTTTCTTAGCTTAATATAGTCTAAAACAACAGATTTGTAATTGTTTTATTATATCTAATTAAAGATTTAAGAGAAGAGCTTACTGGAAGACGTTATCAAGGTGCCGCACTTAATTGAGTATTTTGAGTTCAGCTTCTACAGGTAAGTTCACTACCACCTGTACATGTTTGTTCAACCAAATAAAAGAAAGAAGTCTGGTTAATTTATAATAGATGATTTTAGTCTATATGTTATTATGTGAACCTGGTGAATTATTGGTTGAGTTATTTTATTTGTTGTATTAAGTTATGTTTATTATCTGGCATAGTCAAGATTTTGTCAGTACTTTTATTTTCAGATTTAATGATGTTTTAATCAAACGTCACCATAAAGAGAACTAATATTTAAAGTGAAAGATCAGGTGATATGTACTCGGGAACAAGTTCCTTCAGATTATCAGTTTCAGATAATCCGATATGTTTAGTGGGTCGCTCCCCTGAGCTGTCGGATTGGCGCCTTTGAGTACATATCACGGGCCCACAGAGTAAAATTAGCCACAAAGAGTTTTACAGAAAGTTGTTTTTGAGATCTCTTTCAGAAAGTTTTACAGAAAGTTGTTTTTGAGATCTCTTTCAGAAAGTTTTACAGAAAGTTGTTTTCGAGATCTCTTTCAGATAGTTTTACAGAGAGTTGTTTTCGAGATCTCTTTTACAGAGATGTTTTGAGAAAGAAATTTTGAGATCTCTCCAGCAGTACTCAGAAATTATTTTAGAAAATATTCTTCTTTTGAGATCTCCCTCAAGATGTATTTGAGAAGTTATGTGTTAGTTATATGTTCAGTGCATGCTTATAGCCTAAATTTATCTATTGATAAATTGGTATAGACTTCTAGATATTTTTGTGGATTCAAAGTGACTTACTAAGCGTAAAGCTTATCAGTTTCTTTCTTCGCATGTATAGATACTAAGGGTAAGGCCAAGGCTTAGGAAGATGATGAGGGAGTGGAACGCGTGCCAAGATGAGTTAACGGGAACGACCTTCGCGACTTCTAGCTAGATAATATTTTGTTTCAGTATTTCGGTGTTATAATAAAGTGATTTATATTACTTTATTTTTATTTGAGGATTTAAAGTTGAGTAAATTCCTGGATCCAGGTGGTTATCACATTTGCTGGTGATAACTATATTTTATTAAGTTTCTATTTGGGGTTTTTTAGTTACTTTTGAGAATTTAACAGGGTTATTTTCTTAAATAGATGGCCA